CTCTCGCAGGCGAACGAGGCACCCTCTGCGTCCGACGTCTGTGTCCACGTCCACACGTCCACACGGACAACCCTGGCGGTCACCAGAGCTCACAGGAGGAAACAGAGCCCGTCAGGTTCCTGGAGGGAGGGGGGCGACAGCCCCCCTTCGGTCGCAACAAGAGGAAGAGGGCCCGGTAGGCCCACGGAGCGGAGTGACAGGCTCTCCCCCTCCCCGGCCAGGCGCGGGGCACCCTTGGCATCCGACCTCCGCGTTCTGACGTCCAAGGGTGCACCCCTGGTGGCCAGTCGACCTTGCAAGCACCCGACGTCCAAGTCCTGACATCCTCGCGGGCAACCCTGGTGGTCAGCAGACCCCTGAAGGGGGGCAGGGCCCGTGAGCCCAGACGGGCGGGAACACCGTGCCACCGGTCCCACCATGAGGAACTGGGCTCGTTTGGCCTGCAGGATGGGGGTCCTCCCGCAGGCGATCGAGGCACCCTTGGTTCCCGCAGTCCGAACCCTGACGCCCGCACGGGTGACCCTTGAGGCCAGCAGACCTCACAAGGAGAGGCAGGGCCCGTCTGGCCAGAGGGGGACGGAGGTTCTGTCTCAGCGCCCGCACCAATAGAGAGGGCCAGAAGCGGGCTGCGCCACGGCGTTAGGGTTGCAGCCCTCCCTGGTGCCTCCCTGTAGCGAGGCGCGAGGGGCGGGCCTGACGCGACAGCTGTCAGCCACAGCACAGGCTTGACAGCGGACCTCGCCGCCCCCCCCCGACCGATCGACGTGCGGCGGGAGGACAGCCTACACCGATGGACGTGGGAGGCCCGCCCCCTGTCCGCCCTGTTTTGGTCACCCTTGGCGCGTCTCTCCCCTGCGCCCCCGGGTGCCCTCCCGTGCCGGGGTGGCTCCCCCGCGGCTGGGCCCCCGGTCCTCCTGCCAGAGAGTCGGTGGTGCCTTCTCCCGCCTGCCCCGGCCTTGTCCTCCCGCGCAAATCGCGGTTTCGTCTCCACCACGCCGCGTCCGCAGTTTTGGCTGCAGTGTCGGTGCACTCCCTCGTCAGTTCGCGTCTGTCGCCATCCCTGGAGGTTCGGCCGCGGACTGCGCCCCCCTCTCGGGGGCTTGGGTGTGCGACTTTGCTGGCACCACCGCTCGCACCTGCCAGGCCTTGGCAGGCATCCTGGGTCACTCGGAGGTGCCCCACCCTGGTCCCTCCGCGGTGTTTTCTCGCGCCATTTTGGCCGCGCCGCAGCTTGGCTGCCCAATGCTCCCACACCCAATTCGTTTGTGGCGGTGGGTCCACCTGGCTCCGGCCACCCTGGTATCTTTTCAGCGCTTGGGGTGCCTACCGCATCGAAGTCACTTGCAGCTTGCAGTCCCTGGCCGCTGGCCGCCCTGGCAGTCTGACTCCCTGCAGCTCGTTGCGCGCAGGCGCACACGTCACTTGCAGTTGCAGGCCCTGGCCGCGGGTCACCCTGGTAGTCAGCCGCCTCCTGCAGCTCGATGCGTGCGTGCCTCCTGGGCAGTGCAGCTATCCTGGCAGCCGCCGTTAGCAGCCTGTCTCCGCTCGCTGGCCTGGCCGCCGAGGTGCCGCGTGAGGCTTCGGCCCAGTGGCTTCAGGTTGATTTGCCTTTGCGCGCCCCACACGCCGTCGGCGCCTTCGCCCGTGGCCGCTGACTAAAAAGTGCCCCACCAGCCCCTTGAGTCGCGTTAGTCCTCTGCCGCGCCTTCTGGTTTCTGCCACGCCCAGCTCCTCCTCGTCTTCTTTTTCCCACTTCCAGTGGGGAATACCAGTCTCTGTTTGCCCTTGGAGGCAGTTTCTGGAAGAAGGGGGGCTTGGATCGTTTTTTTTTTTTTTTTTTTTTTTTTTTTTTTTTTTTTTTTTTTTTTTTTTTTTGTGGGTGGTCCCAACGCCAAACCTGGTAGCGACGATACAATACCCGTTCAGCCAGACGAGACTGGTGCCGGCAGGTCGTGCCGATGTCGTGGAAACGCTGCTGTCCCTCCTGTTGTGAAAGATGATGGTTCTGCCGTCGTCGGTGACGTTGCGCTTCTGTTCCCGCTCTACGTAGATGTTGTGTCTGGTGTGGCGCAAGTCGATGCAAGGGTACTTTCTGTAACCATCGCAGTGCCAGGGCTGTTTAGTGGGGCGGGCAAAGGAGTGGTATTTGGTACACTCGTGGTGGTGGTGGTGGTGGTGGTGGTGGGTGCATTGGTCTCGCGTTCTTGGTCGTAGGTGGCCCTGTTTTGGTGGCCTTTGTGTGTGTGTGTGTGTGTGTGTGTGTGTGTGTGTGCGTGCGTGCGTGCGTGCGTGCGTGTGTGTGTGTGTGTGTGTGTGTGTGTGTGTGTGTGTCTGTGTGTGTGTGTGTGTGTGTGTGTGAGTGTGTGAGTGTGTGTGTGTTGTGTGTGTGTGTTGTGTGTGTGTTGTGTTGTGTTGTGTTGTGTGTGTGTGTGTGTGTTGTGTGTGTGTGTGTGTGTGTGTGTTGTGTGTTGTGGTTGTGTGTGTGTGTGTTGTGTTGTGTTTGTGTGTGTGTGTTGTTTGTGTGTGTGTGTGGTGTGTGTGTGTGTGTGTTGTGTGTGTGTGTGTGTGTTGTGTGTTGTGTGTGTGTGTGTGTGTGTGTGTTGTGTTGTGTGTGTGTGTGTGTGTGTGTGTTGTGTGTGTGTGTGTGTGTTGTGTTGTGTTGTGTTGTGTTGTGTTGTGTTGTGTTGTGTTGTGTTGTGTTGTGTTGTGTTGTGTTGTGTTGTGTTGTGTTGTGTTGTGTTGTGTTGTGTTGTGTTGTGTTGTGTTGTGTTGTGTTGTGTTGTGTTGTGTTGTGTGTTGTGTGTGTGTTGTGTTGTGTTGTGTTGTGTTGTGTTGTGTTGTGTTGTGTTGTGTTGTGTTGTGTTGTGTTGTGTTGTGTTGTGTTGTGTTGTGTTGTGTTGTGTTGTGTTGTGTTGTGTTGTGTTGTGTTGTGTTGTGTTGTGTTGTGTTGTGTTGTGCTGTGCTGTGCTGTGCTGTGCTGTGCTGTGCTGTGCTGTGCTGTGTTGTGTTGTGTTGTGTTGTGTTGTGTTGTGTTGTGCTGTGTTGTGTTGTGTGTGTGTGTGTGTGTGTGTGTGTGTGTGTGTGTGTGTGTGTGTGTGTGTGTGTGCTGCGGTTGGTGTGTCTACGGTCGGGCCGCCAGTGGTGGTGAGGATGGTCTTCGGAAGCGGGGGTGGCTTCTTGACGACGCCTGTGGGAGGTAGTGGTTGTGATTTCTTGCCTGGTGGTGTGTGCTGGGTCGTCGGAGTACGGTCGGTTCTGTGGATCTGGTGGTCTCGTTTGCGGCTCGTGGGGTGTTCGCCAGGGCTGGTAGTGAGGACCAGGTAGTAATTTTTTTTTCCTCCCCTCCTCCCTCCCTTCCCAACCCCATCATCGTCACCACTCGTTTCAGCAAACCTCTCGCACGTTTCGTGCTCCCCTGTGGGGCCTCACCAAAGGTGCCCGTGCCACCGCCCGCCTGCGCACTCCCCGCCCAGTACTGCGTTTCGTGGCCACAGAAGCCGCGCCACTGAAGGGTGCAGTGCGACCGCTCTCATGCGCCCTCCTCGGCCCCCCCCGCCCAGTACAGCGCGTCGTGGTCCCAGTGCCACCCTTCGTAGGCGCTTCCTGCTCAGTACAGCGTTTCGTTGCCCCTTACGGGGTTCCACTGCAGGGCCCAGTTCTACCATTCGCAGGCGTTCCCACCCAGTACCGCGTTTCGTGGCCCCATCGGCAGCCCAACCGAGGGTACCAGTGCTGCCGTCCGCAGGCGCCCTCCCCGCACAGTCAAAGCGCTCGTCGGCCCAGCTGGTATATAGCCGCGTCCCAGGCCGCGTATATCCTCCACTCCCCCCCCCCCCCCCGCCCCCGTAGGGAGCGTTTCGTGGCACCATAGGGAGCTCCACCGAAGGTCTCCCTGCTGCCGGCCGCAAGCGCTCCCTTCACCCAGCGAAGCGTGTCGTGGCCCCGTAGACCGCGCCACCGAGGTTCCCAGTGCTACCGTCCGCGTGCTTTTCCGCGCCCAGTAAAGCGTTCCGTGGCCCCGCAGGGGGCCATGCGGAAGGTACCAGTGCTGCCGTTCGCCTGCGCCTCCCGCGCCCAGTACAGCGTTTCGTGGCCCGCTCGCCGGCCACCGCGCGGTCTTCGCGCCGCCAGCCGCCGCCGCCCGCCGCCCGCCCGGCCGATCCGCCCTGCGTGCCTCGGCCTCCGGATGCTTCCGGCGGCGTTCGGAAGCCACGGAAGCGCTCGAGGCCCTGGCCCGGCCGGCTCCCCTCCGTGCCCGGGCAAGGCCGCCCGCGAAGGCCGCCAGAGCTGCCCCAGCTCGGCGGCCCGCGGCCGCAGCGCCCGCCGGCCCTGCCCGCCTGCTGTGCGAGCGCCTGCCTGCCCAATCCCAGGGCCCACGACGTCGGGTCCCAGCTTCGCGTCCAGCATCGCGCTGAGCAGCACGAATGCCTGTTGCCACTGCCCCCTCTTCTCGCCCGCGCTGATCCCAGAGCTGTAGCTGATGACACTTGGCGCCACCTTCGCTTCCCACATCTCGCTGAGCAGCGAGAGAGCCCGCTGCCACTGCTCGCCGTTCGTGCACGCGCTGATCCCAGAGCTGCTCCACCTTCACCTCCCGCATCTCGCTGAGCAGTGGGAGAGCCTGCTGCCACTGCTCGCCGTTCGTACACGCTCTGATCCCAGGGCTGGTCCCGGAGTTGTAACTGATGGCCTCTGGCTCCGACCTCACTTCCCGCATCTCGCAGAACAGCGATAGAGTTCGCTGCCACTGCTCGCCTTTCGTGCACGCGCTGATCCCCGAGCTGTAGCTGATGACTTTCGGTTCCGATTTCACTTCCCACATCCCTCTGAGCAGTGATAGAGCCCGCTGCCACTGCTTGTCTTTCGCGCACGCGCTGATCCCAGAGCTATAGCTGCTGGCATCTGGCTCCACCTTCGCCTCCCGCATCTCGCTGAGCAGCGAGAGAGCCCGCTGCCACTGCTCGCCGTGCGTGTATGCGCTGATCCCAGAGCTGTAGCTG